TTAATTTTACAATGTGGTGTTTGGACTTGGTAGGAAGGTGGGTGGGGGTAGAGGAGATAGCAGAAAAATATGGATGGAAATTCTCAAGCAAACTGTAAGTCACATGTTCCTTGGAGGTAATCTGATCTGTTTAGGGCACAGAATTCAGAACCATTAGAAGTTCTTGGGTTGGATGGATAATAAGAAAGAAATGCTACACTTATGGAATGGTATGAATAAGAATATGTGTGAAGAAAAAATACTTTTTAAATGGTTAAGTCCCATTCAAGGTTTAACGTTTCTCCATTATTAAAATTTGGCTTAAGAAAAAGAGTCATAGTTCTGAAGTTTCTCAGACACCCTTCATATTCTCAAATTACTCTGCCATTACTTGCAAATCCCATTCTTTTGATAAGCACTATAGTAAATAGGATAAATGAGATCAATAACACTAATATGGTTAAGAGAAAAAAGAGGTTAGTAATCAAAAGAATACAGGTTATTATTGATATCAATGTCTCATTCTTCATCTCTGATATGCAACTTGGAAACTACAATATTTTCTATGTCTTTATGGGGCAAATGCAAGAAATGAAAAACTTCTACTCTTCTTTACAAACATGGAAAATTAATGGCTCCTTTTCTATTTTCTTTGGAGTTGGCATGATTCATGTTGCATACAATTAGTAGCTCGTTAGTAACAACCAGGTAATTATTGGCTTGCTTTCTGATATTAACAGATGCCTCATAAGACATTTAATAAATTTTTCATTAGTCTTCCTGAGAAAGCCTTCAGGAGAAAATAATTCTGAAGACAGCAACTCATACTTTCTTTTTGAACCACAAGATATTTTCAAAATCAAATTTTAAAATGTTAATAACATCATACCTAAATATCTTTCCGTTAAATGTTTTATTAATCTAATCAATTTAGTAACATTTCTCCCTGCTCTACACAAAGTCACCACCAGTACCATGAGTAAAAGACATTTCATTTACATGCATTTAATTTTGTATTAAGTTTCAGAGTATTACTCACCTACTGTCTGACATAATTTTTAACTGAGTAGGGGATGTAATCAGTAGGTTTTAATAGCCAACATTTTAAACTATGACTTTTTTCTCTTCAAAGACAAAGTCTCAAATGAAAACAGGCAAATACTTGATGCTGTTATATACTCACGTATCTAACCAAAAGTTATTTAAATTTTATTGTACAGTGAAATTTTAGTACAAAGCAATACATTCACAATAACCTAGCAATTTATATAGATGCTAAAAATGGACAGGTTCATAGTTACATGGGGAAAATACTGATTGCCACAATAAAACTTTCAATTATATCATCTAGGAATGTTGCAGAACATTTCATTATTGATTCTCCGAAGGAGATATAACTGCTGAATGCTAAGTGCGATTTCGATTTGTCAACATTACATTTGGTGTAATTAAAACCCTAAAGTGATCTTTAAATAATTCTTCACTCAAATTGCATCCTGATGCATTTCTTTATCTCTATAATTGGGATGCCGACACCTAAACAAGCGACTCATCCAATTACACTTGTCTTACCTCAATGTTCTCACCCTTAGAAAAAGCACTTTTAAAAGCTTTCTGTTGGCATTTTTAGTGAGAAGGATATATTTTTTTAAACATCAACTGAGAGGGACTTAGGCCAAATTATGAAGTGGTGTGACTTCAGTGACTTTTACCTCCTTTATTTAGCTTATATTTATTTATTAACTCAGTGGCTTCGTCCTTCTCAGGACTCCGCACTGGCGCACACCTGCAGGGTCTCACATGACCATCAGATGGTTAGTATTCCTCTCTTTTGCTCCCCTAGGGCTTTTCTTCTAGGACTACGACAGCCCAAGAAGAAAATCTGATAAGCTAAAATATACGAACACCTCAGTTTTATTTGGGACCTCCCTGAGAAATCTGTGCTTTACCACTTGAAGCTGAAAAGACCTAAATCAATAACAAAGGTGATATTAGGTCACTAAAGAGCCATAAATATTCATGTCTTTTCTTCATTCTGGGAAAATCTAATCTAAAAAAGCCACTTATATCTAAAATAGTTGGAGTATTCATTTGAACTGTTTGTGGCTCTGTTATATTCATGTCCTCGTCATCCCACGCCATTCTTCTTATCAGGCCTCCTTCTTCACTTAGTTCTTTCATTTTCAGGAATCTTTTTCTCTAGGATGCTCCCCATCCCGAATGCTAGTGTTACCTCCTTCATATCCAGTCACTTCATTCATTTGTTTTATATTTAGAGTTTTTGAAGCTACTTACTTATAAAAAATAGAAAAGTGAAGTATTTGTAGAATGTTATGCTCATTTATACATTAAATATTTCCTGAAATATTACTCTAATTTGAAAGCTGTTTTCCATGTTAATTTCTATTGATGTTGATGATCAGATAACAGCAAATTTAATCATGCATGTGGATTAATTGTTAACTTTTAAATATTACTTCACTATCTTTAAAGAACTATGCTTTTACTTAGTATTAAAAAATAAACCTTCCAGAGGGGTGGAGCCAGGATGGCAGCGTGAGTAGAGCAGTGGAAATCTCCTCCCAAAACCACATATATCCATGAAAATATAACAAAGACAACTCTTCCTAAAATAGAGACCAGAGGACACAGGACAACATCCAGACCACA